GCACATCCTGGATGGGTGCCTCTTCACCTCCTCTCTTACATTAGGCCATGATCCGTCTGGACTTGAGTTCTGTCTATGGACTGAGGTCGGGGTCCTTGGGCATAGGGAAGGATATCCAGTTGTCTCAGAACCACTGGTTGAAGAGGTGTTTCTGAATTGACTTGTCAAAAATCACCCTGGTCAAAAATCAACTGATCATAGATGCACGGGTTTGTTTCTGGAATCTCAACTGTATTCCATTGGACAATGTGGCTACCCTGAGATCACCACACTGTTTGGATGACTGTAGCTTTGTAGTATGCTTTGGAATCAGGAAATGTGGGTCTTCCTGCTTTCGTCTCCCTTGCCTGTATTTTTTGCATTCCCACGTGAATTCCGAATCAGCTTGTCCTATTCTGTGTTTGGTGTTGGCTCCAAGAACCTGCATCATGTGGCCCCTCCCACAGGACAGCCTCCTGGGCAGCCCTCACACAGGTGCCCTCACACAGGGGACTCCATGGCCTCAAACAGGCACTGTGCTCACAGGTGCCCTCACACAGGGGACTCCATGGCCTCAAACAGGCACTGTGCTCACAGGTGACTTCACATAGGTGACCTCACAGCACTCACAGAAGTGACCTTATACATGACCTCACACAGGTGACCTTACATAGGAAACATTGCTCAGGTGACCTCTCAGCACTCACACAGGTGACCTCACACAGGTGTCTTCACACAGGTGTCCCCATACAGGTGACCTCACACAGGTAACTTCACATAGGTCACTTCACAGAGGTGTCCTCACACAGGTGTCCTCACACAGGTGACCTCACACAGGTGACCTTGCACAGGTAACTTCACATAGGTCACTTGACATAGGTGACCTCACACAGGTGTCCTCACATAGGTGACCTCACACAGGTGACCTTGCACAGGTCACTTCACACAGGTCACTTCACATAGGTGGCCTCACACAGGTGGCCTCACACAGGTGACTTCACATAGGTGACTTCACAGAGGTGACCTCACAGGTGACCTTACATAGGTAACATTGCTCAGGTGACCTCTCAGCACTCACACAGGTGTCCTCACAAAGGTGTCCTCACACAGGTGACCTCACACAGGTGACCTTGCACAGGTAACATCACATAGGTCACTTGACATAGGTGACCTCACACAGGTGACCTCACACAGGTGTCCTCACACAGGTGACCTTGCACACGTGTCCTCACACAGGTGACCTTGCACAGGTCACTTCACATAGGTCACTTCATATAGGTGGCCTCACACAGGTGTCCTCACACAGGTGACCTCACACAGGTGACTTCACATAGGTGACTTCACAGAGGTGACCTCACGTAGATGACCTCACACAGGTGGCTTTACACAGGTGACCTCACTGCACTCAAGGTGACGTCCCTCAGGTGAGCTCCCTCGGGGGACCTGCCAGCCCC